GGGGGGGGGGGGGGGGGCATTCAGGCAGTCTTCGCATAGACAAAGTACCAGATAGCGCAGATGCACACAAGCTTCGTCGCAGCACAATCGCCAAACCCTCTACGCACCGAGGAGAAGCCTCCTAGTTTTATAGGCTGGTAAAGGAAGGCTCACGGGTCTCCCATGTGGTGCAATGCCTTCAGTCTGCAAGCAAGTCGCAGTCAAGTTCCCGACCTCGTGTAACGTCCACACGCTGTCTTTCAATCGGAGCGATCTTCAGCCATGAGCCAAGTAACTGCGGCTGCCAGCCATGCACAGCCCGTACAAGGGGACACCACCTGTGCCGAAGGCCCACATGAGCGAGCTTTTGAGCGACGCTGAGCGCAGAGTGACGAGCAGAATACATGAAACCGACAGACAGAGAGAGATATAGAGAGGCAGAGAGAGACAGCAAGTCCTACAAAAAAAGACACTGTCCATTTGTGACGGAGAGGAAACGGCCTGGGCACCCATCTGCAGCGGCTGGGCCAGGTCTAGCTCGGCCTTCCTGAGACGAGGTGGAATGTGATCTACCATGTCTTCTGCGGCCGGGTCTGGCGCGCAAGCCACACATCTTGCGCGGTGCCGAGATCCTTGCCTGGCACTCCTAAACACTAGTTGCATCAAGGGTCAGATCCGGTGGCGGAAGGCCCAGAAAGCAAGCCTCGCACAGTGCTAGATTCATGTCGACTCTGGCGTCTCGAGTGTGCCCAACAAAGGCCTACAAACTAAACCCAAGTTGTTCGGCCGATCACTGGACTGACCGAGCTGCGTCTCCAGAAATTCTTCGGCCGAGTCGCGAAGCTGGGTTCTTGAAGCCGAGGGTTTGCGAAGGCCTGGTGGTAATCGCATAACGGCGCAGTGTGTAAAATGATGGATGCATTGATGACTGTGGCAATCGGCAAGAGCCCAAAGTCCAACCAAGGGCCGAAGGCTCGACACGCTCAGTAAGCCGTCTCGAGAGGCGAAAGCACATTTTGTAAGCAATGATCCCTCATTAGGCACACAAAGCATACGGATGGGCCAACATCACCACGTGTGTCTGGACCAAGGCCAAAGCCACAGAAAAGTAGATTTCCTTGTCCTGTCGCAAGTCAGGCATGCGCTTCAGCCTGTGTTTGCCGTTAGCCAACGCGGAAGCATCAAACTCCATGCCGGCAAATCTACGCATTCAGGAAGTGTCCAAGCTCTCCGCGCATTCCCAACAGCTGCAAGTGCCATCGAATGCCTCCTTGTCCACAAACCACGCCACCCCAGCCACGCCCTTGATCTGCTTCGACTCGAACCTGCAGTCTGAAAGACAAAGCGACGCATGCCGAAACCAAGACCTCAAAACATGTGAAGCATTGGCCGCAAATGGAGCAGGCGAACAACCACGCACGATCGAACAACCGTTGCGGTGTCCGGGTTCTGCATTAGATACACTGGGTTCTAGAACTTCTCCATGCCTTTGTGTCTCTGCAAAAGCCACAACTGAACTTATTGCTGCAGCTTTTCAGCCACATGGCTCAATGATGCTGGGCATCTCAGCCGGAATGGACTTGGTCCTCTCGGACTTCCATTCCTCGACAGTATGGACTGCAAGGCCCAACGGCGGAGTCTCAGCGGCTCCCAGCATATCATGGCATCTAAGAGTCACCGCAACGCAGGTAGTCGCCATCGTAAACAAATTCCTTGTCGGACTGGTTGCCTTGGGCCAAGTCTCTCTGATTCTCTCTGCCACTCACTACGGATGTGAATGGCTGTTTCAGACCGGGGGCTGATCTCTATCAGAAACCGGTTCTCTGTCGATAAAATGTTGTCCTTAGCTTGGCCACACGATTGTCATTCTGCGAGGTCTCATTGAACTGCTGGAGAAAAAAAGGAAAGCATTACACCTGCTACTCGTTGCAACAGGGGGTCCATGCCAGCACCTGTACACGGGATGCTATGAACCTCGACCACTGGCAGCCGAATCCACATGTGGCATTGCTTGTGCTTGCACATCCTCACCCCGCATCGCTGAGGCGCCGGCAACGGCAGCGATGGCAAACAAGCGAACTCTCGCTCGAGATCTCAATGGGACATCACGTCCAGAATCAGGATAGCTATTTAGTTCCCTGTAGCTGTGCTCGCTTTCACCTGAGCCTCCGATGCGGCACACCGTGGGCTTGTTTCGCAGACTTGAAGATCTTAAGTTCAGAATCGGCCGTGACAGAGTTCGTGCCATAGTTTTCGCGTCCGCCCTAAGCTGGAGCCAATCCAATCGCAGCCAACACGCGCAAGCAAAATACAAGTGCTTACCACCCGGCATATTCCGAGCATGTTTGAAATCATCGTAGCCAAGTGGCCTCGGAACAACTCAGACAGATTGATGCCAGGAAATGTCAATGTGCCGCAGTGCCGCCTGATCCCCTCGCTCCTTCAGCGTCTTCACCTCCGCATGAACCGGCGGTGGAGCCTAAGGGCGGCTGGTTTGATTCTCATGGCACGTCGTGCCTACAAAGCTTCTGATTCTTGCACTGAGAATTCACTGCCACACCAGACATGACGTAGGGTGCAAGACTTTGTAAAACTACGAGCCGCTGTCGATGAAGGATGCGTGGCAAAGCTCAAAGGTTCTCATGAAGTTCTCATGAATTCTGCCATGTGGAATGCACGGGGCGTTTGTTCTCAACACGCCGGCACTGGCCGGAGCGGTTAGACCGTCAGACCTGCCGACCTATAATGAGGCATGTTTGTGCAAACAACTGTCTGCAAGAGCTTGCAGGAATAAACTCCAGACAATTGCACAAGTGCTGCTCCGGCTGTCGTGCGCTGGGCAAGCCCTATCGGCTCGATTGGCTCGAGGCTCGAGTCATGAGTGATCAACGAGTCTGTGCCCCGGGCCATTGCCTCACTGCAGGACAGCGTGCTGCCGCGATGCCTATGCCTATGCGATATTCGAGGAAGAACTGCTGGATATGACCAAACCAGCTCCGTTTTCATGCCCACGCATAAACGTTGCAGGAGCGAGGGCTGCTTCTGCACGTCATCATGTTTAATGCCTGCTCGCGCCCTGCTCTACTCCAACCTCTCGAGCAAGAGCTGACAGCGAGCAGTGCAAACCTTTCAATCAGCGAAGCATGATCGGCTAGCTTGGGTGCCATTATTGTGCTTGCGAGGCAGTTCGGCTCGAAGCATGCCGTTCGAGGCCGTGACTGAGTATGAAGGCTCCCGGGCATGTGGCGATGAATCCCTCCAGGTGGTGCGCGAGCAAGCAGTGCACAGAAAGAGCTGTTTTGCTTGGAAGCATGTCGACTGGCATGCTGACATGCCATGGCCCCACAGCAACCTGCTCTGCACAACCGGGCACTAGCAGGTTTCCGCCCCAAGGTGACACAAAGCGCCTAAGACATAGTTGGCACCTACAGTACCCCAGCTTTCTCTTGAGTTTAGACATCGAGTCCTAAAGGCCAAGGGCATCCTTACATGACATTCATCAAAGGCTCGCTTACTGACAGATTTCGGAAAACTCATTCGCCCTCCCGTCGCTGGATCCAGCGATGCGTCTCCGGGTACAGGGCCGCCAAACTCACCTTGCTTTCACTCTTGCTTTCCATTGTTGCAGTAGCCAGGGCTTCTCGGTGCAGAGAGGACGACCGAAGAAGAACAAGGACCTAGATCAATTGAAAGTGTTGCCTTTCATTGCCTGTACTGGTCCTCGGAGACATGGGGCGAGGAAAACATGCAAACAAGTCATGCAAGTATACTAATGAAAGACCAGCAGGATCGAATCGTGCTGCAACTCTGAAAAACAGCGCTCGCCCAGGGCTTTAGATCAGAACTCCTAACAAAAAAAGCTCGCTCTTTGTAGTTCTTCCTTGAGAACTTCGTGCCCAGACATGTCCTTCATTCACCCTTTCCCATACTGACTCAAAGTATCTGCATCTCGTCCGTTGCATGTCACTACTAGCTCTGCAAGAACTGCTCTCACAAAGGACCCCTGACGAATGCTCAGGCCTCGCGATGCTCAGCAGAGTATGCTGCCAGGTTCACCGGTGCATCCGCCTGGTTGTTAAGTTAAGGCATGTCCGACCACGACCATGCATAGAGGCGCATCGAAGCCAAGCCTGAGTGTTTGACCCCTTCCGACAGCACAAGCCTTGGGAGCCTACAAATATGGCTCCTTTTCTTGAACCGCCCCGCCTCAGAAGCTTTCGAGGCAGCCTCGCCTGAGTGCCGCTTGCGATCATCGCAAGTATTAACAGCTCATTCTCATGAAATCCGCCGACCCCCTTTGAAAGCATCGAGTGCCCAAGCGAAGAACAAGAAGAAGCAAGGATGTCGGCCGAGATGCCCCAAGGGCTGCGGCACATCCTCGGCTCAGAATCTATCCCTGCATTTTTTTCCCCGAGAAGCGACGGTTGAGAATGCATCAAACCGAAGCATCCCAGGACAGGCAAGTGTCGGGCAGCTGCTTTGCCCGCTTGCTGCCGCCCACCGTCGGCGGCAATCTGCATGGACGTTGTGGCCACAAGTGCGGCAGAACTCAGCGGCCTTGGGCATCTTCGAAGATGCACGAATCAATTGCAAAGCCGCAGTAAAAAAAAATCCCATCCCCGGGTCCTCTTCAGACTCGATCTGCTCGAAGCAGATGGGACAGTCAGCTGGCAGCGGCTGCCTTTCGACGGCATCCTGGGAGCCCTGGACCTTGCAGCAGTCTCGGAATCGGAAGGGGAATCGGACTCGGAGGCACTCCTCCCGGCCTTCCGGTAGCCACGCATGATGGTGGCATCCGCCTGACATGGGGCAACTTCAAAGACGAACTCCTGGCTGCCCAAGCCCACCTGCACGCCAGCAGCCGCCGCACGGAACTCCTGAAGGCTTCCCAGTCTGCACGCTAAGACACCCCGCCCGCCCGTGCCTCGCTCCGAAGCTTCTCAACTAATGGGGCCAGCTCGGATGAAGTGAATCCTGTCTGCCACACTCGGTGGTCATCCCGCGCAAGCTTGAGGACCTGAGATTCCCCGTGCACACTTGTATCACGCGTGACGGGAGGGAGAGGGAGAGAGAGAGA